GAGTGCTAGATATTCCACTTCCGTATCTATTAATACTATTGTCCCCTCTATGTGTGGAATAGGTAATGGTATTGGGTGGTAAACGGTATATTTGTCATTAGATAGTAGAGGAATTTCTATTACAAAAATTAAATAGTTCTTTTGGGTAAAAATTGTCATTTCCGAGATTCTGAGAAATTCTGTCAAAGATTCTGTGTTTATTTCCATTGGTAGAGTACTTCCTGTTGGTAAATTCGTCTTTATTTCTCCCAAATCACTCATAAGTGTCTGCGATGTGAGTGCGCTCGTATATACCTTCCCATTGAGAGCTGTTTTTACTATTGCCATGAGATTTTGCGTGTCATAGGCGAATCTATTTAATATCATCTCAAACAAAAATGCTTGTTCCAACAATTTTGTTTTGAATGATATTATGTCAATGTTCTGTGTGTTGTTCTCGAATTGCTGTTGTAGGTGTTTCAGATTTCTCTCAATTTGCTGCTGATGCATTTTTAAACTTTTCAGTGTTTGATTAGTTTCTGTTTCTCTCCACTTCCGAAATTCTCGTTCTGTCGTGTATAAGGTTTAGATTCTTTAATTTGCTTTTACCTAACTCTATTATATTGTCTACAATAAAGTCAGTGTTGATTCTTGAACACATTCCGTAAATTACGTTTGTTATTCGGTTAACAGCACTTCCCAATCCACGTCTACTTTTCTTTGCTGTCTGTTGATCATAGTCAATGGCTATCATCAGACTTCGATAGTTCGATTCTATCTCATATAGATATGGTAGTGTGGCTCGTGTAAACTGTTGCAAAAAAGGTTTACATATCCTCGAGAATTCTTCGTTTTCTGATTGATTTGTACAGTACTGTGCTGTTTTTTGATAGTGGGACTTTAATATATTGTATTCTGCTAATTGTTCGTTTAGGTTTACGTAAACTACTAAATCCCAAGTAATATGTGATAGACCAAGTTGGCCATGGGACTCGTAGTAAAGTCCTTGATGTTCTGTGATTGGAGTTATCGCGTACTCTGGGGTTGATTGTCTGTCTTGATGATCTGATTCAATTTTCCTCTGTAGTTGGGCATGTCCAACTGTGGTAATTGCAATGATCCTGAAAATAGTTTAACAAGAACATTTAATTTCCTTCGTAGAATTGTTTTAATAAATTTCTGTGCAGAATGACTGGTCTGTTTTTCTTCAATATCGTTATATTTGGAGATTCTGGGTTAGTTTCTATTACCGTATAGGGTCCTATCCATTTCGGAGCTAGCTTACCTTTACTAGCTTTTTCTTGGATGAGTACCTTGTCACCTATACTTATTGTTAGAGGTGAGATTTTCTGATCGTAACGATCTTTCGATTTCTGTTTGGAATCATAGAGATGAGTTTTTGCTTGAGCCTGAGCTTCTTGCATGTTCCTCTTTAATTCAAAATAATAGTCGTCATAATTGTATTGAGGTTCTGTATTTTTCATAAATGAATTTGGTACTGTTATTGGATGCCCATATACTAATGGTATGGTTGGTACTTCGTGGAAGTGTGTGTCGTGGAGTTATGGCAGAACATTGCGAACGGGACATGTGTGTCCCAGTTCTGTGGGTCTTTATTGACGAAACTGCGTAGATATTCTGCTAGTGTCCGGTGACTTCGTTCCAAGGATCCATTACTCTGTGGATGATATGGACTTGTGGATGTTTGTTTAATTTTCAGCAATTGACACACTTCCTTAAATACCTTGCTTAGAAACTCGGTGCCACAGTCTGTTACGAGGCTCTGAGGAAGACCATGTAGACACACGAATTGAGTCACAAAAAATTTTGCAACTGTATTAGCTTCATGATTTGGCATCGGAGCTGCCCACGCGAACTTCGAAAGGTCATCTTGAAGTGTAAGAATGAACACATTTCCGTTGTAGGATTTCGTAAGTGGTCCTACAATGTCCATATATATCTTTTCGAAGGGTCTGGATGCCGTGGTGGTTATCGTCATTGGCTCACGGGCAGTTCGATTGGATGACTTGTTTGCTTGGCAGGTGGCGCATTCCCGAATGTATTTTTTTTATCTGTTTCCTCATTCCTTTCCAATTATGATGCTGAGATATCCGTTGGTGGGTACGGGTGGTTCCCTGATGCCCTCCCATCGGATTCTCGTGGAATTCTCGGATGATTTGTAGCTGCTCCTCCTCTGAGACCGTCTCAGGAACTAGCACTTGTATAGTTACCTGAGAGTCTCGGAAGATGTATTGCAACATAGAACGGACGGTTTCCCACTGGAGTCCATCTAGGCCAGTGCCTAGACGTGGACAAGTGAGTGTCCTAATTTCTCGTTTTTCACAAAGAGTTCGAAGTTTCTGTAAACTTTGGAAGAAATGTTCAGGTTCGGGCTTTTGACAAAAATGCTGTTTTGTAACGAGGTAAAATATCTCGCGTTCTTTTAACCGAAGAGACAATACATCTGGGACTGTTTTTGGAAGTCGGCGAAGTTGATTTAATCCACCGAATCTCCGTCGAAATTCCAAGGCGATTCCCTTAGTCATCTTAAGGTCGCTAGAGACACATTGTGCTAAAGCCATGCTTTGATCAGTCTCGAAGATGTCTCCTTTCGATTCCACTACCTTTGTAGTGAATGCAACTTTTTCTCTTAAAAATTTCTGATAGCTGCTTAAAGGTTCTGTGGAGCTTGAGTGTTCTGTAGAAGTTGAAGGTTCTGCACAATCTGGAGATTCAGTAGAGTTTGGAGATTTGGGTAATCTGGTCACAACTCTATTAATTCGGCTCAATGCATCCGCATTGGTATTACTGGCTCCTGGTTTGAAATGGATCTCGTACTCATATTCGGCAAGCTTCAGCCTCCAGCGAGTCAATCTGGATCCGGGGTCTTTAATATTGAATAACCAATTCAAAGCTTGGTGGTCTGTTAATATATTAAATTTCTGACCGAACAAGTATGGACGGAATTGTTTCACCCCCCATACTATCGCACATAGCTCCGTTTCGGTCGTGTTGTAGTTTGATTCAGCACGGTTCAGAGTCCGTGATGCATACGCTATTGGAGGGTCTGCACCAATTGGGCCTTGCGAGAGAACGCAGCCAATGGCATAATTGCTAGCGTCGCATGTTAAATTGAAGGTCCTAGTGAAATCCGGATATTGCAATAAAGGTTCTGTTGTTAGAATTTCCTTCAACGTATCAAACGCTTCTTGGCAGAGATCTGTCCACTTAAAATTGACGTCTTTCTTCAACAAAGCAGTTAATGGCTTTGCTATTCGTCCATATCCTGGTACAAATCGTCTGTAGTATCCCGATAAACCGAGGAAAGATTTAACTTCCTTTTCGTTGGTCGGGATTGGAAACTCTATTACACATTTAATTTTCTGTGGATTTGGTTTCACCCCTTGGTCAGTTATAATATGACCTAGGTAGTTAACTTCCTTGCGCATATGTGCATTTTGATGGTTGCAGCTTTAGATTGAATGTTCTCAAACGTTCGAATACTGCTTTTAATTTTTCGGAATGGTCTGCTATACTGAGTGCGTAGATGATAATGTCGTCCAAATAGACGAATGCTTTTAATCCTGTTAGCCCTGCCAGGACTGTATTCATCAAACGTTGAAAAGTTGCAGGCGCACCTTTCAACCCAAAGGGAACGCGAAGAAATTCAAAGTGTCCCTTGTCTGTAGAGAATGCCGTCTTTTCAGTATGTTCCGGGTGCATTCTAACTTGATCGTATCCTTGGGCCAGATCCAACGTGGTATAGTACTTAGACTTACCAAGCTGGTCTAAAATGTCTATTATATTAGGCAGTGGATAAGCATCTCCGACTGATATTTGGTTAAGTTTCCGGAAGTCTACACATACTCTGTATTTTACTACACCATCTTTGTCTGCTTTTTTCGGAACCACCAGTAAAGGTGCATTCCATGGACTTCGGCTAGGTGCTATAATATTATCCTCTTCGAGTTGCTTCATTTGTTTGTTTATCTGATCTTTGTGTCGATGAGGTAGACGGTACGGCCTTTCGTTGATTGGTTGGGTAGAAGCTGGAGTGTTTACCTCGTGAAAAACAGCATCTGTGCAAGTTAATGGATCTCCCTCTAAATGAAAGATATCAGAATACTGTTCGCACGTTGAGATGAGTGACTCTCGCTCCTCTATATTCAAATGTTCAGTATCGAGTGAATCTCTAAGGGCAACCAATCTTCCCGTGGTTCTGACCGTTTCCGTTGCCTTGTGTATGGTTTGTACTTTTACCTCTGTAAAATTTTCAAATTTTAATCCTTTGATTTGCTCCTCTGTGAGTTGGACGATTTGTTCAGTAGGATTTACTGCGGCTATAAGGATCTGTTTTTGACGGACTTGGTTTACCGTGTTGCTGCATAGGATTGATTCATCTAAGGTCTGTGCGGGTATCAAGTAGATTTCTTCCTCCTGAAGATTAGGAGTAGGGATGCTAATTATCGTTTCACTACGAGGTTGTAGAGTAATTTTGAATTCTTTTGACTGTAAATTTTCTGTTGAATTCTGTGTCTCTGAGTTACCCACTGAGTTAGATGTTTTTGGAAGTTCTGTAGGGTTAACTAATTTTGACGGATTTTGTTTATTGGTCAAGATTAACTGTTTAGTCTTGTAATTCAGAATCGTTTCCAATCCAATTATAAATGGTTTCCCTAAAATACCATCGTATGGTACCGGGAAAGATGACGGTGCCACATGAAACTCCGTTGTTCTTTCATCTTTTCCCAAACAAAGAGATAGGTCGGTTGTGCCAAATGAACGTAGGGTGTGACCGGTGATTCCTGAAAGATTTTGTTCCGTCTGTTCCCTAATCATTATTTCATCTTTCAACGAAGATACTTTTATGAAATTCACATCAGCACCTGAGTCGACTAATAGCTTAATGGTCGGTGTAATTGTCTGAGAGCATTTACAAAGTAAATGGTCGTAATGGAGGTTCTGTTCCTGGGGTTCAGGATTCTGATTGTCTTGTTCGATTTTCTGTTGTTTTACGGCATTTAAAAAGATGATGGAAATTTTATTACGGCAGTTTTTAGGGCCTTCCCGGTGAGTCGCACGGTGATCCCCTGGAGGAGTCGAGTTTGCACCTTTCTATTAGTGCATGCTAAAGCGAATTCACACTTTTCCAGGAAGATTTCCATCTCCTCCTGGTTTTCCCCATTAAACGAGCTTGGGAGTAACCTTAAAGCTGCCTCCAAGCTGATGGCTTCGGATCCCAGACTGTCTTCTACTGTAATGTTCCGACTGCCCCCTTGAAAATGGTCTTCGTTAGACGTATTTGGTCTGACGGTTCCTTCCGATATCTGTGGTTCTAATGGCATCACATTGAGCAATTGTAACTGAGTCTCTGCGTCCATATTGTTTTCGTAAAAGGTCTGATCAAGAATGTTCTGTGCTCTACCGACGACTTGGTCTGTTTCCTCTAACGTTTTAGAAACGTTTTGTATGAGGTTTGTAATTTCTATAACGGATGTGCCGGTCCTCACAAATAAATTGTCAGGTTCGACCTCGTCTACAATACGTTCGGAATCGGAATTGTTTGGGTCTGAAAATCTTACGGGTAAACTTGTCCGTGGTTGTGGGGCAGGGAGGTTTGTCTGGTTCCCCCCGAGATCCTCACCCCCTGTAACTATGGACTCTTGTTCACTCTCGGATGTCCCGCTCATTAACAACCTAAATATTCCCTCTGAATGTGCGAATAAATATTCTTACCCTTTATCAAAGCTATTTCAACTACTATAACTATAATATAGAGAATTAAAATAAAATTTTCTTACAATGCTTAGAGTAAAATAATAATTTATAAAAAAAAATAAATAACACAAATTTATATTGTTTTTTTTTTTTTTACTTACAATACCGCGAATCGGTTCATGGTGACTGCGATGTTCCGCTCGGATTGGGGCAGTAGTCCGACTCGGATTGACTGGAATGCTCGTAACGGCTCTGATTGAATTTGGAATGCTCTGGAATCGTCCTTTTCGTCTGCGCTTGATGTAACGAAGTTCGCTAGCCCCGAAACAGCTATGCGCGGGGACCACTATTAATAATGGGTTTCTCTTCAGTGATGTTCTGGATTTTCTGTCTTCGGTTGCGTCGCGTATTTAATTAAAATTTCCGTAATAGTGTACCGTCTAGCTGTTTTATTCGCGTGTTTACAAGACGGACGTCAGCTGTTACGGCGGCGGCAACAACGACGGCGGCGGCTACCACTGTTGTGGCGAAGTGACGTCACGTGCGGCTATATTTTTTTAACCTTGGTACGCGTCGACGGCGGCGATGAGCTCGCGGCGGAGGTGCTTACAACAACGTTGGAAATATCGACACGACGCGGCGGCTCGGTCTCTCACGTATACTAACGTATACCCGACCGATTATTATTATTATTACGCGGCGGCGGCACAGACGTTTGGTTTTGCATACACGTTGAATGCGTGTGCGTGCGTAAGTGTCGTCCGGTTCGGCGGCACTATCGACACGGCGGCGACGGCGTCGCGTATATTATAATTTTTTTATTACGCACTTTATACGTACCAAATTGTCTGCGATGTTCTGAATGTTCTGAATGCTCTGTTGATCCGATGTTCTGAATGTTCTGAATGCTCTTTGAAATATTATTTGCACTTAGTAAAAAATGTTGGCTAACGCCTTAACCACACTATATTATTATTAATAAAATATCACTAGTCGAACGTGGTAGTGTATACTGTAGCGTATCCCACCGCTGCCACCAAAAATGTTATGGAACCGGGGTTCCAACACAAATAATTTAACGCACGATTAGATTGATATTAATTATATAGGTTTTATTACGGGTTTTAACATTAACTAGTTGTACATATAATATAAAAATGCTCTTCTTAAAACATACGTTAAGTATAATGCTCTGTTCTAATGCGACTGACTAACCTCCTCCCTGTGCGTCGGCCTACGGCCGGCCCCGCCGGACGCCGAATCGCCTAGTCAGCGGATTCCTGTCGACGAGCCGTCGACCAACACACTCTTCTTATACTGTGAACATAATATAATATAATACTATTCAGGGGTTCACAACACCATTGATACCTTACAGAAAATTAGAAATGATAGCAAATTTACTGGAATCATTAATGAGTTAAAAGAATTCAAAAATAATTCTACATTAAATATTGAAGATTTTAAGCCTTTACAGATGAATCGTAAGAAAGTTGTACCTCGTATGTATGATGAAAAATCGTTAGATGATGCTATTGATGAACCATTGAAAAATTTTAAAGTAAACACTTTTTATTGTGCTATTGATTTAACTCTTACTCAAATGAAAGATCGATTCAGTGATATTTCTACAGGCATTTTCAAAGATTTGTCTCTTTTTTCACGACGACGCATAAAATAAATAGCAAACGATACTTCGAAACTACCATCAGATGCATTTTTGATTTTTAGTTCAGTATATGAAAAATTTGTTGACAGAAGTGATCTTATACGAGAATACATACAGTTTTTTAAATGTTATTTTGACTTTGAAAAAAATAAATTTTTGCCGACACAACTTCATTCTGAAAAAAATAAAAAAAAATAGAAGCACTTGATGAAAACTTTGAATCAGATACATCCGATGAGCATGCTAATGACCTCTTACTAACAAATAACCAAGTTGAGATTATTGGGAGTACACTACCTACAAATGGAACTAGTATGGCCATAGTTTTTCAAGTATGACTTATAAGTGGTCTATCAACAGTATTTCTTTCTCTACATATAGCACTAAAAATAAGTCTAACTTTGCCTATAGCTAGTGTTACCACTGAAAGAAGTTTTTCAAAACTTTCCATTGTGAAAAATAAACTTAGAAGTACTATGAATGAAGATAGATTGGGCTCTTTAATGATTATAGCTTGTGAGCCTGACATACATATAAATAATGATGATATAATTAATGAATTTTCTACATCTAGCCCTCTACTTTTAAATGCACTAGGGCGTTAATTTTGTTAAAATATACATAATATGTGTATAGTGTATATACTATTTACATATAATAAAGAATCGTTATTACCTACTAATATTAATATGTTTAAGTTACTTCATATTTTATAGTACATAATATTATATACTTTTTTAAATATAAGATGAAATATTAATCTGCATCGAAAAATGGTAGGAAATTATATTATTATGCAGTACCTACTATTATAAAACTTTGTTTTGAAATAGTTTTGATGTATCTAATATTGTATTAAGAAAAAAATACGATTTTTTATCATATTACATTTTGTCGGTAGGTAGGTGGTAACTTTCTAGGTTTGCTCCCTGTTAAAAAAATAATCATTTGCGCCACTGCAATCATTATCACCACTGACACAGATCCTATCCTAGCATCTCTTATAATTCATAATCATCTAACCATGCTTGATAGCTGATTCCACAAATGGAAAATTCAAGTTAACCTGTCAACCCAGGTTAGGTACCTTCACTTTGCTACCCATCGATTTCCCCCTCCCCCTCCCCCCCCCCAAATTTCCTAAACGGTTAGGTTAGGCTAAATCCCAGTTACTAGTTATTAGTTACCTACCTACTCAAATGACATATCTGTGCCTAATTCTTGACAGACGTCTCACTTGGGGGGGGGGTACTTAATTGCCAAACGTTACACGCTATCGCCAACTTCACCTACTCCACTCTAAGCTGGTAGGTACCATAAAAAACTGTTAAGTTATGATTATAAAATGGATCGACAAAAGATAAAATAAACAACACAATTAGTTATAATAATAATTAGTAGGTAATATTTCACTATAACTAAAACACATAACTAAGTAGGTATGTAAAGTAAATTGTCTTCTAACAACTTAAGTTCTATACCTACAGTATGCTGAAAGTTGGTCTTATATACAAGTGACCTATTGAGCTTGTTATTGTAACATTTATGTGATTTTCAATTTGCGAATAACAACAATGTAGTTATTATAGCACAATATGATGTTACTTTTTTTACAATTTTAAATTATATTCAACAAAAACTACCTAAACACACAATCTACACAGCTCGCCTGACACCAGTATGGCTCTACGCCCTATATAGGTACGGTATTCAACTATGGGGCTCAGCTAAACCATCCAATACTAAGGCAATACAACCGTTCTAATCCTTAATGCAACAGTTAATCTCGGGAGCTCCTTGGTATATTAGTACCTATATTACCAACAACTCTCTGCATAAAGAACTTTATTTTCCAACATTAAACAAACTTGCTTCTGTCACCTACAACAAAACATACAAAACATTCAGTGTCCTCACCAATCCACTAATCAATAGCTTCCAATCCCACTCAAATTCCTAACAACACACCCAGACGACTGAAAAGGAACTGGTGTATATATCTACCGTACTTTTTACTAACAATTAAAATCGCAAATAGGGTGCCGTCAATCGGTGTCTTTCCCTATTCTGTCCTACGTATTCTTGACGTGGTCCCTCGCAAAATCTGTTTGAATTCAAACAGCCTTTGCGTGGAAGCTGCGCCGTGGCTTCTCAATCAAACCGCCAATCGACGACGGACGACGCCAGGAACCGTCGGCCGGCCGTTTGGTTAGGTGAACCGGATTGTCGAGAGTCACTTGTTTTTCTCTCAGCGACCCGGACAGTCACGTAGACCTCCACACACGTCCCCGCGAGATCAAAAACCCACTACCGTAGTAGTACACAACAAAAAAGCTCGATACCGTTTCTCAATGTTACATTGAATGAACTCTTTTATTTTATTATAATAAAGTTACAGTCACACCAGTGCGCCGTTTTGTTGTTTTTTCTTTATTTTGGTTTTATACCGACTGTTTCTCCGTTGGTCACCACCACCACATCACTCCACGCGCCACTCCACAAGTCCGCATCATTCTTGTATATAATTTATCTAATTTGCTTATTGTGTTAAATAAATACAGATTGCAATTAAATTTCTTTTGTAAATAATAAAAAAAAATTAAAAATTCATTGAATGTACCTACCTATATTTTTTTTTTTTTTTTTTTTAGCTTCTAAGGCATTAGGCCTTCGCTGCTCTACTATGCTCTCCATCGGTCTCTGTTGTCTGCATCCTCAATTGTTGCAGTTTCATCTACTTGCACTAAGTCATTCTTTACCCGGTCCATCCAACGCTGACGTGGTCTTCCTCTGGGGCGTGTTTTATTTGGTTTAGATACCTAAATACCTATAATATAGCGAAAAATTATTAGTTTTTATATAAAAACAACAATTACTGGTATCTAATTAGTTAGTAAATGTCTAGCAATTCTATTTTCTTGTACTTACTTTACTGTTTTAGAATACTTGTTGAAGTAAGTGAACATAGTACTTCATTTTCAATTTCACAGATGATATTCATTTCAATTAATTAAACATTTTTACAAACCTAATTTCGATAGTAATCCAATTGTAATTCATACAATTTAGTGAGTATTTCCCCATTTCGAACAATACTCTTATGTGGAGCTGTACTATGTTGTTTCAGTTGTAATGACTACATAATTTTTACATTTAACGTTTTTTTTAGGTTCATTGATACCAGCATACTTTTAGGTATGATGTACACAATTTATTTAAATGAAAGCAAAAGTTAAATGAATTGTTTTATTAATTTTCATTCAGAGAATTATTAAAGTAAATAAGAATGTATATTTACTATCA